TTAATACGACTGATTTAATCCATTTAAATCCAGCGAGGAAGAAAAGGGCAAGACCGATTATATTAAAGAATTTTACTGCGTATTAAAGAATTAAACTCCCGTTGCAAAACTGCTTTCTCACGCAGCCAATAACGTGTTCAAGCCGGACGGAGCAGCTAGCCTGCTCGCCGAGCGGTTAAGTATGATTGATTGGATCTAAAAGTAAGAACCAATCATATTCAATCATTTGGTGAACTGTTGGATAGCTGTGTCGTTCATTTGAACATGATCAATAATACATGATACTCTTCGAAGCTTCTCGACTCTCGAATTTTCGCGTTATCGCGATAAATAAGGGGCCGCGAATAGATTCACGCCTGGGGTCTTTTAATAAACACCTTAATCCACTGTGCTGTTCGTGCCGTTCGATGTGTAGGCAGCTTAACACGCGCCGACACGGCGCGTGTAACGTGCCGCGGCGCGCGAAAACTTTGTTGGCCGATAATCCATGAGGCCCCCGGAGTCACGCGAAGAGGCCACGTCGGAATTCCACGTGGATATATTCGCGTCTTATTAACGACGTGCCGTCGTCGTCGTCGTGCAGGATCCACAAGGGCAGCACGTAATAAAGTACAGTTAACAGTCCGACCGTGTTCCACGATGTCTTCGAGCGAATCTCGAAGCCCGGGTTGACGCGGGAGAGAGAAATGTGTAGCGACCGGAGAGAGAGATTGTCGAACCGGAGGAGCGCGTTTGCCTAGAAGCGTGGAATTCCATCGACTGGCGCTCACGCCTTGTTAACGTGACGCCCACAGCGAAGTAAACGGTTCGTTGGCCAAAAAAAAAAAAAAGGCCACTACTACTTATCCGCGCGATCATACCTTCTCTCATGCGAGACGATATTTAACGACAAAGTCGACGGCATCGATGGCGTTATTATTTATTATTCCCTTACGGTATTATTATTTCTTAAACATGAAAGTATCCTCGTATACCGATGTTTAGAACAACAAAGTTGAAGAATTCTATGTAATTATTCACTCGCGTGCGTGGTTGTATAATTATCAAGATATATGCATATAAAAATAAACGCATAAATACTATGTGCGTAGGAAAATTAATGTTTACGTGAAATTAGCAGAGACAGGCGCGATCAGGAGTTGGCCTTATTATTTTTTTTTTTTTAAGGGAAACAAAAGTACGATGGCAGTTGTATAAATTTTCCATGTAGTTCGGCTTATCTTATTCATGATGCAAAGGACGATTTGCATTACCAAGTGGCTATGAGTTTTCTTTACGATGCGACATCGACTGCGTCATTTATCTATACACCTTCTCTACATTGTACTTGCTTTTCTTCGAATATTTGAACAACATTGTGTAGAAAAAGTAGAATATTTTATAAATATGAAAAATCATTTTTTAAATATTCTTGATACTCAACGCTATAATTAGAAACAAAGCAACAAATAAATAAGTAGAATATTCTTTTCAATATAAGTTTGCATTTACATATGCTAAATATTATATATAAAATCAGTCTTTTACAATGTAAAATTCTTAATACGCTAAATAAAGAAGGAATATATTTTCCAAAATCTCCACCGTAAGTTTGCTTTGCTTGTCACTCGAATTTCCCGACACTAACAAAGTGCGTGAGGCAAGAAAAGAAATGTCGTCTGGCTGTATATTTTCTACGCGAGATAGTCGCGAGAATCCAAGAGGTGGCGAAGGAGATGAAGAAGGGCGATGCGGAAAGGACGAAGAGGAGAACGCGAGGCAGAGAAGCCTGTTTGGAACATCCCGACGGCGGCGGTCCAAGATGGCGTCCACGCTCGGTGGTTTCCCGTTTTCTCTTATTCTCTGTCTTCTCTTCTCTCGGTTTAATTCCCGATACTGCCAGCCGACCCTTGCCCTTTTTTGGTGCACGTTACGCCCATGGAATACGTAACGCGGCGCGTGATATACGCATCTGGAGCGCGCCATACCCGATTCTACGTCTACTTTCGTTTATACGCGCGCGCACGTACATGAGTGCGTGAGTACTTAAATGCGTGCGTGAGTGCGTGCACATAACGGTATCGGGCACCACCGAAAGACACACGGCCACCCCTCGGTCACGGATTAGCATATCAATCCCCTCGTTATACTACCCCGTCGATTTCTCGTTCGCGCTCTCATTCTCTCTCTCTCTCTCTCTTTCTCTCCCCTGCTTGATCTGCGCCATTAACGTTTCGCGCGAGTACATAGTCATTGTTACCTTCAATCGTGGCTGTACTTGATACCTCGGACTATAGGTAGTTATAAATTTTAATGCAGTTCTATTTGACACGCGAATTTTAGTCAATTGAGAATTTTGGTTTAGCTTTGTCCATCGCATCTGATATTTCTTTCAGCGTTCAGATATTAATTCCAGGTTAAAAATAGCAAATCTATGTTTTATTTAAAGGAGTAGAAAGCGACGTTAACGAGAGATTAATGTAATCCTAATGTCCGACGATAATAAATATCAATACGACTAATAAATATCGTCGACGGATTGCATTAATCTATTGCGTCTGGTATTATATGACTGCCGTATTATACTACTACCGCATTAATGTTGAAATACGATATTAACTGACGTATACGTTAATAAATAATAGAGATTTTTTTACGCATAAACCTTGCAGACAAGATCATTAATATAGTAGCAATCGATCTCTTTCTTTTTTTCTCATTGGAATAATCATATTTTGTATAATAATATTCGTTTAAAACATTCTGTATATCATACATGCACAAAATTTTTTAAACAGAAATATTATAAAATTAGACTGTAGATGTACATCATCAAACATTTTTAACAGTAAAGCATGTTTGGTTGGCAGGATTAAGAAGTACGACGTGTTACTGTCACGTCGTTACCATTTTCGTTACTTTTTTCTGTTTGTATGGTAATGTTGTTACGTTTTTATAATACGGTAACGAATTCAACTGTTACTTTTATCCCTTAATTATTTTTATAACTATTAAATAGATTGCTTTCTTTTTAATTGGCTAGAAATATTTTATAATATAAAATTTGAACATTGGAAAATTGTTTTGTACTTTATATGTATTTTAGGCTATTGTGATAGTCACTGCCAATACTGAAAATCTATAGTATGTACATGTATATAACGTAAATTATAAATTTTCAGTATTGGCAGTAAATATTAGAATACTATAAATAACGATATTAATGTTTAAAATCAATATTTAATAAAAATTTTTAATAATCTGCGTTTATAAAGTACAATTTATTTTCATAAAAATAAATATGTATTAAAAAATAAAAATATTAATATAAATATAAACCAATTATAGAAGATTTTGTTAGATAATTTTAATATGGAGGAAAGCTTGTTATATCAAGTTGAGAATTTTAAGTTTTAATATACAAAAAACATCGTTATTTCGTAAATAATAACAATGGTAACGTTACATTTTTAAATTAGTAAAAAATAACGGCAATATTTTTATACAGCAATGCTCTCGACTCTGTTGGAAATCGACATTATGTGGCACTACATAAACACTAAACTAAATAGTGTGTTAAAAACATTATTAAATCTTTTTTTTCCTTGACTGACTAGCTATAATAAATGTTTAGAGTTGTCATTAAATTCAGTACAAAACATTGTTGCTGTACTTAAACAAGTATTGTTGTATTTAAAAAGAATCCTTTTCGCTATACATCATTATTGTATATTATACTCAGAATATAATCGCATAGCGATGATCCATTACAATAGAAAATCTCTTTTTGTTCGACAGATGCTTCATGCAATAATATAATCTCTAAATGGCTATAAATAATCTCAATGAATCCAAACCAGATGAACATACAGATTATAGAATAAGCCTATGTGGCGTCCAATGTTTACACAAAAACAATAGATCCTTTAACAGGATCTAGTCCAATAAAAATGCTTGATTGCATATATGATTTACCTAATAATTAACTAAAAAAATGTTACAGTTTTTCGACTTTAATTTTCAAAATAAGAATTCGCCTTTAAGCGTTATTATAATCGTTACGAGACACTCTGTATGTGTATATAAATAATCTTATTTATGTCCATTTCTATCAATATAGATAAACTTTAATCTCGGTTCAACTTACTTTTCATTCTTTTCTAATTGTAAGAATTAGAAAACGATGAAAAGTAAGTTGAATCGAGAAATTAAAATTAAACTGCATTACATATTTGTTATATAAACATAAATAAAAAGGATTAATACATACATATATTTACATAGATATCTATAGTAATACGTATTAATTATATGTAAATATACATACATTGTATACAAAATTAATACGTATGAAAAAAAATAAATATGTTTTTTGTCTTGCGTGTCTAGTCTATAAAGTGTCAGGAGTATTACATTACAATGATGGTAATATCTTTTTTATAAATCAAGACTATATCACGCTTGAGCAAAGTGCAAATGAGACGATTATTACTGACTACGAAACAAGCAGAGAAAACAATGAGGATCGCCGCGTCACGCGAATGCATCTTCGAGCAAGACCGTGATTCTTCTCACGCCGCGATCCTTGTAAGAAATATCAATCTTGCTTAACGCGTCACAAGAATGCTAATGTCAAGTCGCCACTGACATTACTTTATTAATTCTGTATACCATTTGCATCGCGTACTACACTCAGAACCTAGAAAACGTTCATGTATCAGATAATCTTAATGTAATTATCAATCTCAATCAAATGATTGATTTTATTAATCGCAATTCTAAATCTTATTAAATATTTAATGATATTAACATGATATTCAATATTACTTGTGGTGTCATACTTTCTACCACAAGTAAATAGCAAATAATAATATATTTATCATTATAATTAGTTCGTTAGAGATATACGATAGAAGTAATCCCGGCTGAAGAATTTCTGAGTTTGATTGAAAAATTCATTTGACTCGATATTTGTGTGATGAAATCAATGTAAGATATTCAGTGAGCTCCTCTAAGCTTACCTGAGTTTCGGTCAATGATAACGCTTGCGCCAACTGTTTTCTTTCTGCGCCGACGACGTAGTGATTTTTCTCGAAGGCGTGTTCCAGCTTGAGCAGTTGGCTTGGACTGAAGGCTGTCCTTATTCTCTTCGGCTTCCTGAAGGGTTGAAGTAAGAAGCCGGGTATGTCAGGACCTGAGACGAACAATTTTAACAAAATTTAAAATTCCAAAAGATTTCAGGAAATTTTAAACTTTGTTTTGAATCACTTAGATCTAATTTAGGACTATTTTAACAAGACTTGATTATAATAGCGGTATCATTTTCGCTGAAAATTAAAAGATGAGAAAAAGATGCGATAAAGAAAATCAAGAAAAAAAGAGAAAACGAGATTACCACGAAGTTGATGAGATATCATTAAGAAGGAAGGTAAATGTTGAATCTAAATAATGAATCAGCGATATGAATCGCGCGATGTTGGTAAGAACGCGTAATTCACCGTCGACAAATTAAAATGGTAATTTAATTACCAGAGGAGCTGCCGGTATAAAGTTTCAGACGGTTCGGGCGATTAGCATGAGCGAATGGGGGAACGGAGGTCGCGATTTATTAACGATTAATTAATTGTTAAACGCCAGGACGTCATCCGGCTAGTGTCCGTATATGCCTCATAGAGGCCTCGCCTTGAAAATAAATAATCGGCACGCAAGCCACGAATTCGTTCACAAGCCGTAGGGTCGTGCGTGCCGAACGAGAGAAAGAGAAACACCTACTCGTGGAGAGAAGGTGTACAAAGTCAGGAACTCTGGGCCAGGTAATTGAGTATTCTACCACGAAAGAGCCATGTCGATCGGCCGATAGCCACGTATGCCGGAAGTCACCAGAGATGCTTTAGCGGAAAGCTCGGGACGATAAATCGCCACGTCGCCCGCACGGTTTTCCTATGGCGCGTGACTGTACTTTGGGGACTGTGTGTTATACAACTCTCAGCAATCAGTTTTTGAAATCATTAAAAAGATATCGCGGAGATACTGACAATGAGTCGAAATCGGAAGTCTCACAAAGAGCGTTCGTGCACACTCAGAGAAAAAAAATCTTGGTGATAGCAACTATATGAACAACTGTACAAGTTTTATAAGTAGAATTAATGTACATAGTTAAATATTCTTCTGTCAATGCACAAAACAGTAAAAATTTTTATATTTTCAATCAAAAACCTGATTTTCCGATCAATAAAGATCGCATAGACTTTATCATTTTCACATTTCTATTTTTTTTGCGAAAATCACGTGAAGCACGATAATGATACGGTGAAAAATTATGTCCCGACGCTATAATTCTACGTAATATAAAACTTAGACAGTTATCCTATATAAGTTATTATCACTATGTTTTTTCCTGAATGCAGATTCGAAAAGAAAAGGTGATATGCATATGATTACGCGATAATATAATTTTATGCTATACGACGTATGGAAATTCAACGCGAGGCTAAGAATCTGGGAAAGATTCTTGTATATAATTCGAAATAAACGTAACATAAAGTTTCAAACTTCTTTTTATCCTTCCTCTTGACGATCTCTGACATCAATTAGCATTTGCATGCGCCTTCCGTGTTATTATTCATTGCGGTTTCTAAATTACAGCGTCAGCGCGCAAAGTGATCTAAATAAGTCACGCGCAGTAGGTTATGGAGCTAGTAACCGGTACAACGTACACGCGACCAGCCGCAACGGTGAATCGTATCATTTGCATTGCGAAAAATTTATCCGTTAGGATCTTCGCGGCTGAAACTGACAAGTTAATAGCTGGATAGAGCGGCGACTGCTATATCCCCTAGCCATCTGTACATTTCCCATATTTTTTGCTGGCCACAGCGGATTCTCAATTGCGGCATTAGAACTGACAAAGTGATCGAGAAGTAGGTTAAATGCATCGATCGATAGTATTGCAATCGACCGAATAAATCACTACATTTAATGCTGTCGATACGTGAGTACCTACGATTTTAGGTAATGAATAGCTATCTTGATATCCGGAGATAGAGATTCGTATCTAACAGCATTAATCCTATTTGCATCGGGAAAGAATCCGTCGTATAATCTTTAGATTACTGTATAGGCCTGTCATTTCAAGTAGCTTTTCATCAAGATAGTAAATCGCACTTTTCTTCATTTAGAGAAATAAGAGATTCGCGCGAAAAAGGCTGATTAAACTTCAATTGAATTTTACGTGTATCACGTTTCTTCTTGGATTGGATAACGAGGGAAAATAAATAGAAAATTATAAATTAAGCCTCTTCGAACATTGAACTTTAAGTGTATCATTGTTTTGCTCTACCGCTCATTTCTCGTTGTCACTCCTTGAAATCGCGTTCTCGCGAAACCAACGTTTAATACATTGCATACATAAACGTGTGCTGCTTAAAACACGCGAGCGCATTCCTGCGAATCGCGTAACGAAGTTTAATTCATGATGGGATCAAAGCGCCTTGTATGAAAATAGATGCATTAATCAACGCTTTTCCGAGGTGACGATAACGTCAGGCGTTTCGGCTTCAACTTTAGTCAGATAAAATTATACCGAATTGATAAATTATTATTGTATTCGCTATAATTACAGATTTTACATATTAAAACAATATAAAAATTATTATTTTTTGATGTATTTTGATTGCAATTTATCAATATATCTTATTAAATCCAGCACACGCGACGTACGTATATTATAATGTATTTTTTTTCTGATTTTATACAATAGAGAGCGAGTTTAGATAAATGTAAATTATGTCGAGATATACACGAGCGGGCGATTCTCTGCAGGTACACGGTGTTGCTAATTACAGCGACGGAATAAAGGATCATTAGCGGCGTGCCCGTGCGTGAAGCGATCGCTATTTATGTGGGTAATGAATAGTAATGCGATGACTCTTACTGCGACTGTATACTCGGCCGCGATTTTGAATGCGCGACATATATCGCGTACCGGACTATGGTCCGCAACTATGAGGTAACAATCGCGTTTCGCTAATAATTAATCAGCCGGACGGCTAAAATTACGCTTAACGACGCGAGAAAACTTTGCAAACAGCGCACAAACGTGATAAATAATTACCCGCGCTTTTGTAACTCTCGATCAATGACAAACGGGAATTACTGAAAATTTATCGTCCAAAGAATTATTATCTATACAGGAAACAACCGTTTCGCCATATTTTAATGTAATTTAATTATATACATATATATTATGTATACAATTCAATTTCTACTATTATTTTCGACTCTTAAGATCCTTAAACGAGCTAAGGTAGAAGATTACGATCGCGCTGGGAAGGATCTTATAATATAATCCGAAATGCGATCTTCACGAAGGTGGGCGATGCGCGATCGACTCGCGATCCCTATCGATCCCATGCGCCATGGCGGGGATCGTGAACGGGCGCTTCATCGTTAGCGGTTCCCTAGGAACTTCCTAGACATCGCCTGGAGCGACGCGCTTAACTCGTCCATTGCCGTGCAATAAAGAAGAAAGAAGGAGGAGAAGAAGAAGAGGAGGAAACCACGACAACAACGAGGACGACACAGCGCGGAGAAACGAAGAGCCGAGTCGGACGGCCTGTAATTACGGGAAGCTTGTGCTGCGGCTTTCGCAGCTGAGACGCCCAGAGCGACTCGAAATTACTCAAAAATAAGACCAAATGGTAAACGTATCAAATTATACCCCCTCCTCCCTCCGTGCAGCCTGCCAAGCTTCCCTCGGGTTCTCTCTCCCTCTCTCTCTCTCTCTCTCTTTCTCTTCTCTCACCTCCTCTCTACCTTTTCTTCATTTCTCTCTGTCTTTCTTTCTCTATCTGTGGTATCGCATTTCGCTGGCAAAAACCGCTCCCGCACGTTCACCGCGTCGCACTAATGCGTTTTTAATTGTCGCTAAGCGTGCGACGAGACGTCGACCATTACGAACGTAAGCAACGACGGACGGCGCGCACTGCGAAACAGGTGAAAATGCAAATAAGGGAAGGTGGATGCGCTGGCGTTTGGTGAGCTGGAGTTAATATATCCGGTGAGAAAACGAGCCCCGACTTCCGAACGAGGCGAAACTCTCTTTCTTGATTATTATTAAACGGTACAAAGGCAGCGATATTAAATATTTGAAAAATGTATACAGATACAAATTAAAATAGCGTCAAAGACTGCTAAATATCATCCTCATTGCGAAACCTTAAATCTCTCTTCCTTATCAGAAGTCAAAGGTCCATAAATCGCAGCGGAATTACGGCGTGATAGCATGACATTTTACTGATTGCCCGACTTTATTATTTCTCGCGGCTACCGTAATTACAGTGGCGACCATCGAACTCTTTTTCACGAAGTAATTTCATCACGTATCTGAAATAATTAACCGTGACGCTATTAATTATTCGAAACCGATCTATTTAATTCCGTTTGCCTTCGGATAATTTCAAACTGGCAACCGGCCGTAAATATAGCGAGTCGAGGATGAAGAGTTAATCTCGTAACGGGAGGTTAATTGAAAGTTAGGCCAATAGTTAGTACAAGGTGTGGATAACCTTGAATCCGTGATAACATTCTTTTTCACTTGATAAATTCCCACGAAAAAATGTTCAAGCAAACTTATATAAATATAATAAAAACTTATATAAATAGCATTGCGTAACGACGTATATACTGAACATAATTACAATGACAGACATGTGTGAAACATTTCTGACATTTAATATCTTTGTACATAAGTGATTAATCGCTAATGTAGCAACATGATAAAAGGACTCCGTCGTGTCTACTTCCGTCCATTAGATAATATCCATTAATTAAGCTTTATATAATATAATTTTGCGACAACCCGTCACCTTAAGTATCCTCGTCATAGTATTCCATGAGGTCACAGACACGCCAAAGAATCCACGCGCAGGTTAATAAAACATTCGACTCGCGTGGCAATTACGAAACGACACCTTCCGGTTGCTCGGGTGAAGCCGTTTAACGATTTTTAACAGGCCGCGATCGATCGAACGGGCGGCGACGCGGTCCTTTGATTTCGCTACCGGCAATTTGCGAGCGGAATAGAAATGACGCGAGGAAATCCCATTTCCCCCGCGACAAAAGGGGTGATTGGCACGTCGTAGCCGTAAAGTCCGCCTCGGTGCAAGCAACCGCGACAGGTTTTACGAGAGCGAC